GAGAGCAGGGTCCTTTCTCATGGAAAGGTGTGCGTTTGAAATTAGGGTTGGAGAATGGAGATTTTTATTCAGTATTAAACTTCCTGGAAAACTCGAAGAGACATTTTCATTTATATTGCTACCATGAAGTTTTGTTATTTATTTTCAAAACTTTGTTTGCTGTAGTTAGTATTTCGTAAAATTTATGCCAAGAAAATCAGAGTACTAGGAGTTTGTTTCTGACAGGTTTATTGGGGTAGTAGGGTGTTTTGTCTCAAACCTTCTATTAAGAGCCAGTGAATATTCAGTTTAAAGAAAAATGGCTATAGTTACTTGTATCTGCAGAAGAGGGAAGGAGCAGTGCTTTAGTGGCCTGAAGCAACAAGTGAAGTTTGTGAGAGCCTCCTCTCCTGACTCCTCCCTGTGGAGGATCTCTAACCCAACCCTGAAGGACCAGGGTCCTTTTGGGTCTTTGTCTGAAAATTTGAAGAGGAGACATGGACTTGGGGCTTGGGTCTTCCTAAGCTGAAAGAAGAGACAAAGTGTAGTGTCAAAGCTTGGCGTGACATAGCCCATTGAGTCACAAACCTCTCCCTTCTGTGAGTTCCAGTCCCGCCCGCCTGGTGTACTTGTCCCTCAGCCTCAGAGCAGCGAGCCAGTGTTACCCTGAAACCGCTAGTAAGCTCAGCTACTGCTTCCTCTTCCAGCTGCATCCTAGTGAGGCCTTTTAAAAGGTCACGTGCCTCTTGGTATCGCTTTTAAAGAATTGTTATTTTCGTAGACTGGCTGAGGAAAAAGAGGCTTCTGAGGAGCAGCTCTGCTGGCTGTGCCAGCCAGAGCGCCAGTCCCAGAGGTCCCGAGAGGGACTGTCATGGTTTGACTTCTTGCCCACAGGTTCTTAACGTGTATGTATTTCCTCCTTTAAATTGTGTCCTTAATATAAAGCCCTGAGAATGCAATTCAGTCTCATTGCCCTCTACTCTGGCTCAGACACCCTCAAACCTGGGAGTTCCAGGCCTCTTGTGATTGCCCTCAGTGGGAAGACTTTGCTCTGTAAGTGTGTTGTGCGAACTTTGGGGAAATTTGTCTTCATTTTTAAGTAAAAATGTAAAGTAGACTTTATGTTATACTTTCTTCCCTTCTGTATTTTCTGTATTTAATTCTATTATTTTAAATAGACTTAGATTTAAAGTCAGGATTCTGTGGGTTTTGCAATCTCAGTTGGTATGTGGAGTCAGTTTTACCTCATAACGTGAAAAACAGAAATGAAGGCAAACCTGCTTTGAGGCAAACTCTGTCATGGGGCCTTGTTTATACATTTGAAAAGCGTACCATTCGATTTGTCTATCTGTTCCTGCTTACAGATTTTGCTTAGAGGGGCCCTCCTCCCTGCCCTTCCGGGCAGCATTACAAATGTCTTATCAGGCTTTTTCTAAATCATTAGGATTACCACACAGCTATGAACAGCTGGGTCATTCTAATTGGAAATTAGGTGCTTCTCACATTAGAATCTCTCTGAGAGTTATCTCCACACATTTCTTTCCAGCTACTGGAATTCTGCTAAATACCTATAGTATTGCATGACCAGTGAGCTTTTTAAATATTTGAGCTCTGTAGATTCAGTGGTTATTTCTAGAGACATGTAAGTTATTGAAAAAGTCCTGTTGTCTATTCCAGCAACAGATCTTTAAAAGACAGTGCTACATAGTGACTAAAAGAAAAGCCTACACTACCTTACCTAAATATAACCTCTTCTCCAGAAAACCAGTAAACATTTAAAGTGGCGATGAGCTGATTCGGTTATTAAGTTTGCATTGTAGAATGGTGTTTCTCAAACTGTGACAAGGAACCAGTTTTGGGTTTTTTTTTTCCCTACTTTTTCATGGAGTAATACTTTTATAAAAATAATAATAGTTACTAGAAGAATGAGGTAAAATTACAAAGATGTGGAAAGTTACAAGCCTTATTTTTAAACTTAGATTCAAAGGGCATACAATTCCCTGTCGATGTGCTATAAAATGTTTCTAAGTTCTGCCATATCTGTACTTACCTCATTGTGGGCTGGTAACAACAGTTCACAGACTGGCGCCATCTGTGGGCCACCTTAGAGAAACACTTCCCAGCCACTCCTGGGAAGGAAGATGGGGCAATCCACTTCCGTAGTGATACTGCCTCAGAAACCCAAGGAGGGGTCACTATGAGTCGGGATGGACTCGACAGCACATAACAACAACAAGCGTAGTGCCTAAGGTATTTGACTGCTAACCAGAAGACTGGCAGTTCAAACCCACCAACCACTCCTCAGAAGGAAGGTTGGGCAATCTACTTCCGTAGTGATACCACCTCAGAAACCCAAGGAGAGGTCGCTATGAGTCAGATCCAACTCGATGACAGTGAGTTTGGTTTGTTTGGGGTTTTTTTATTTGTATACACACACACCTAGTCACACACTCTTTAAAATGTGTGGGGCATAATCACATGATTTATCACAGCTTTATGAGAATTCAGTGCACTTAGTAAGCGCTTTGGCAAATGTTGACTTTTTCTGGAAGTATTTAAATAGTTAAATTGTAAGCATATACAGATAGTGTAATTGTGAAAACAATTCTGTTTCAGAACTCAGTTGTCCAGTAACGCTCCTAACACATACAGTTGTTGTTGTTGTTGTTGTTGTTATGTGCCATCGAGTCAAACCCAACTCATAGCGACCCCTCCTTGGGTTTCCGAGGCAGTATCACTGCGGAAGTAGGATTGCCCAACCTTCCTTCCGAGGAGTGGCTGGTGGGTTTGAACCGCCAGCCGTCTGGTTAGCAGGCAAGTGTCTTAGCCACTATGCTACCAGAGCTCCCACACATACAGTAGAAAGTGTTTTATAATGTGAGGTGAAATCACCTCAACTCTGATACATTCTCAGATCTAATTGAACAGAGATACATTAAGAAGAAAGGTTCTGTGCAAAGAATATACACAAATGAGACTTTCAGCACTAAACAGTGGGAAATATTCCTGTTGTGTGAAGTGGTGGATAAGTGAGTTGTTTATTGTACCTTTCCTGCATCAGAGAACAGTTAATTACTGAACTGATCTTTAGGCCTAGTGATTGACAGCCATTTTCTTACTGTTTTCAAAATGAGGGAGAGTACTTCATACAAGTAACTCCATGTTCTTTGTACGCATTAGCAAATTTTCAAGCTAATTCTTATATTGGTAGATTGCAACAGTCTTCTTATTTCTGCCCTGAAGACTAAGGTCATCCAGTGGGGTCGGACACCACAAGTGGTGTTCACTGCCAGGCCGGTTTTTATCACCACCCGCACATCTGTATGTGTGCTTTGAGAGGCAATGTGGCTTTCTTGAGCAAAGTGTTGGAAGGAAGTTCTGTGAAGTTTATATTATGTTTGGCCTTGTATTCTTTAAGGATGAGATTCGTAATTCAAATTCATAATGAGGTGTAGGAGGAGATATTTAGACCCTTGAAGGCCAGGCTTTATGCATCTGTGGGACTCCCCATAGTGTCTGAGACAGCGTAGATTTGGAATGAGTTAAGAAAGAATGACGCATGATCAAAATCAGCTGTAGCAATTCAGCAAGAAGCGAGTAGAGTTTAGAAGAAAAATTGGATAATTGCAAAGCAATCACTTAGATGAAGAAATCAGAAAGAGTGAATCACACTGAGGAGAGGATTAGCATGTGCCAAGTGTAAGTGTTGTAGAGTGTGAGGGAGCGAGCATTTGTTGTTGTTATTAGTTACTGTCGAGTCGGCTCTTGGTGACCTTAACGTATAATAGAATGAAACGTTGCTCGACCCTGTGCCATCTTCATGGTCACTGGTATGTTCGCCTGGCTTAATTAGAAGCACAGATCCTAGTCCGGATAAAAACAACTGTCTCGATTAAATGGTCAGAAAATAAAGACTATGATGCAAAGGCTAATGGACTTGATTGAGATTGTTCTGTGTCAAGCATAGGAATTCTGAAAGGAGGTGATGGGAAAGTGACTTGGAGAGGAATAAGGCCCACTGTCCAGAAGATGACAACCAGCTGATGGGTGTCTCCACTAAAGCCAGAGCTAGAGAGGAGGCAGCCCCAGCTATGGGAGTAAGGAGGGATGACGAGGCAGGGGTTCTTCTCGGCAGTTGTAAAATTCAATCCATTGCCATAGTTCTGAGACAGGAGGCTGCGTTTCTTTGACATATATCTGTATCTCTGGAATCTCAGTGGGTATTTGGTTATGAAATATCTCAAGTACCCAAACAACCAATGCTTATAATCAGAGCAAATTACTTTTAAATTAATCCAGTTGCATTCACACATAACCGTATGCAATGAAATTGAGCCAAGTAAAAACTTGGGCTAGAAAATACACATTTCTCCACTTGATTCTAGAATGAAACATGGTGGCAGCTCAAGTCACTGTGGTCGTTTAACAGAGGCCAAGTGCTTCACCACGTGTCACCAAACAGGCAGAAAGGCTTTGCGCATAATGAGGAAGGAAAGAGCATTTTGAAAGCACACACCATTCTACCAACATTGTACATGTTCCTCCTTCTCCAACCGGGTGTTTTAATTGTTGAAGATGTGTCCAAGTTGTAATTTATGATATGGATATCTGTGTAGGTCATAGCATTGGAAGTGTTCTCTCGAGCTTTAAAAATAAATTTATTTGTGGGAGGGAAATTGAACCTGCATGTTAATGTTAGGCCTGCGAACACAAGCACATGAGCTGAGAAAGTCAAAATCACTGTTTCCATGGTAACTCTTAACTTGTCTGTGTTGTACACATTTCTCAAGAAACACATTTACCAGGCTACCTAGTAATAAAAATTGCATTGCAGGCCTGGGAAGGTAGATGTCCCAGTTTTCACTCATTCAAAAGGTCTTCCCAAAATTAAGTCATTTACTAACATGACATGGGACAAACAACTGAAGTCCAAGTTCTGACTTCTAAATAAGCTCCTTTTTTTTATTGTGGAAATTCATTTTCATGTGATTAATTCCATTTCCTCCCTCTCTCCTTTCCAGATATATGTTGGGTAAAGGAGGAAAACGGAAGTTTGATGAGCATGAAGATGGGCTGGAAGGCAAAATTGTGTCTCCCTCTGACGGTCCATCTAAGGTGTCTTACACCTTACAGCGCCAGACTATCTTCAACATTTCCCTTATGAAACTCTATACCCACAGGCCCCTAACAGAGCCCAGCTTGCAAAAGACTGTTTTAATTAACAACATGTTGAGGCGGATCCAAGAGGAACTCAAACAGGAAGGCAGCCTGAGGCCCGTGTTTGCTCCTTCTTCTCAGCCGAGTGACACACTGAGTGACAGCTACCGAGAAGCCCCACCTGCCTTTAGCCACCCCGCATCCCTGCCCAACCACCCCTGCGACCTCGGAAGCACTACGCCCCTGGAGGCCTGCCTCACCCCAGCCTCACTGCTCGAGGATGACGATGACGCTTTTTGCACTGCCCAGGCCACACCGCCTGTGGTGCCCACCAAACTCTCACCTCCAGCTCTCCCGCCGGAAAAGGACAGTTTCTCCTCGGCCTTGGATGAGATCGAGGAACTCTGTCCCACATCTACCTCCACAGAGGCTGTGGCAGCCACGACTGACAGCTCGAAAGGGAGCTCCAGTGAGCCCAGCGCTCTAAAACCTGAGGGGCTCCCAGAGGGCCGGACAGATGACTCGAAGCTGATGGACTCTCTGCCTGGTAATTTTGAAATAACCACGTCCACGGGTTTTCTGACAGACTTGACCCTGGATGACATCCTGTTTGCTGACATTGACACGTCAATGTATGACTTTGACCCCTGTACGTCCACATCGGGGACAGCCTCAAAAATGGCCCCTGTGTCAGCCGACGACCTCCTCAAGACTCTAGCCCCTTACAGCAGTCAGCCCGTTGCCCCAAGTCAGCCTTTCAAAATGGACCTCACAGAACTGGACCACATCATGGAGGTGCTTGTGGGGTCCTAAGACTGAGGGGCCTGGTGACATCTGTGCCCACCCAGACCCTACAAGTGTTCTCATGGCCCCTACAACTCTCCGCACTGTGCATGCACCCTGGCTTGCCTTTTTCAGAGAAAAAGAAAATTTTACAAAAGGATCACACTAGTTTTTGCTTTGAGCAGAGTTGGAGTGCCTTTATCCCAGTACGACCACTTTTAATATGCTTTTTTTGAGTGGTTTCTCAGAGACCTCCTACCCTGGTATAGGAAAGAACACATTTGAAGACAATGTTGTTATGTTGAATGACACAAACAAACAGTCCAAGTGAAGCACAAGGATTAAGTTGGGAAAGCTGTACATTGCATGTGCATATTTGTCTATTTTTTCTATAAGTTTTATTGCAAGAGGTGAAAAAAAAAAGGAAATATATATATATATATATAAATATATATATATATTTATATATATATATATATATTATTTAGATAATCTCAGTACCTTTTCTGGCATTTTCGCCCTGTGTAGGTTGACTTGGCAATTCGGCCTTTTTAGAGGCATTAACTATTCCTCGTAAGTGTTGCATTTACATGGCTGTTTAGAAACTGCTGCCCAAATTTATTTTATATTTTTGTACAGATTCTGCAGTTTATGATATTGTTTTTCTAAAAACAAATGCTGTTTATACCTATGAAATAGCTATTTTGATAGGATTTGCTCACATAGTTCCTGCAAACTTCAAATGTACAAGTTGCACTTGTACTTTTATAGAGTTGTAATGTTTTATATGTGTATGGTGCAAAGAGAAAATTGGATCAAATCAATCTGCAGTTGATATCCCCAAGTGCAAACACACACACACACACACACACACACACACCCCAGCCACTGTAAGAAAGGGCCAGACGATACCACACCCAAGTTTCACAAACACTGAGCCCCCGGCACAGACACCTGCCCATACTGTGATTCCCAAAGCCCGAGCCCACTGCTCATCAAACTTGCATTAAGCAGTTGGCAGGAGATGGCTGTGGAGCTCAGGGTTTAGGTGATGGTTCTCCTTAGCTTCGTCTTCTGAGGGGAAGGCTACGGAGGACTCACTTCAGTGTATGTGTATGCCAACTTTGTGCTTTTGTTTTTTTGTGTTTTCTTTTTTCCTGAATCAAACCCAAATATTTCTCTGTGGTATGATTTTTATTATCAGAAATTGTACATCTGAACAAAACTTTATTAAAAGCAACCAGTCTTTTCATGGAACTAAAACCCTATTGCACTGCTTAGGGTCCTTTTAAAAAGAAAATCTCCCCAGAAGATATCCATCATGTTGCTGAATTGTCTTTCCAGCTTCCCTTCCCTAGAGCTTTTGTTCCCTCTGTTGCTAAGTACTGAAAAGGCATCTCCAGCATCACCACAGTGAGCCCAGCTCACCTCAGCCGGCCCAGGACACACACTCGTCGTGACATCTGTGGCTCCTCAACCTGGAGTTTATCACGTCACGTCACGGCTTCCAATCTGGTTGCTTTCTTGAATCAACTGCTTTAAATACTTCACACTTTATAAGGCTGTTTTATCCAAATACACAGACAAGACTTTCTATGCATGTTCCTCTCCCTGCCCCCCCACCCAGGACACTTGAGAAGTAGCTTTTCAATTCCTAGTGTTGTACATTTAATTTTAAAATGTTTGCAATGTATCATGCTTGTTGCCGAAATTGTTTATGGCCTTTTCGTTTCAGTTTTTTCTTTTTTCTAATGGTACTTTAGCTGTTGAGTGCAGGTTACAACCTATATTATTGAAATGTAGATGGCTTCTTTAGGAATAACTTTTATATTTATTTAAAAAAAATTTTAAATTATGGGATTTTGTTTTTTGTTGTTGTTGTTTTTGTTGTTGGTCATTGTCAATACTCAGTCACCATTTCTGCTCACTTCTTGCCATGGATAAAATTGGGCCTTTCTGGCCAATTAAAAAAGACAACTTTATAAAGTGGCACTTTAAACAAGCCATAGATAGTTTTATTTTTATAATGCACATGGCAAAGCAAATACATTGTGATGAAGGAACTGCTTGTCTAAGCAAAAGATTTGTGTATGTTATAATTAAATCTTTCTATGTTCTAACTTACTTTTTTCTCAGTTGAATATGTCTTAAAGGCTAATTATCAGCTCAGTTGAGCAGTGAGAAACTGATCAAATTGTACTTGTTCTCCTACAAGAAACCGCTACACTATACAGATGTCATCTTTCTCTGATGGGACTAGGGACCACATAGTTAAGGTGATGATGGTGGTTGTAGTCGCAGCCGGTGTCATGGTGCTTGTAAGTTTTAAGAGCTTTCCTTTCTTGTAGCGAACAAGTCTGTCCCAGACTCTATGGTTGAGATCACTGGAGGACCCGGGAAACTCACCACATGCTGCATACATACACATACACATATACAATAGTATTGATGATTCCGAACAATGACATGGTAAAGCAGTTGATTTACCATTGTTAAAAACTGATTTACAGTAACTTAGAACAACTGTACTTTCGTTGGATTAGCAAAATCGTGTGTTTAAACAAATCCCATATGTTGGGCAACAGTTCAAATAAGCACAGAGAAGTGTTGCCTGAAAGTGGTTCTCTGACTTGCTTGTATTTGTAAGGCTGGGCTGCAAAATCAAAACAAAAACCCCAACAACAGCAGGCAAATGCTTTTTTAAACTCTGGACTCCCTTGCTATAAATTCTTGCTATTCAAAGTCTCACGGGGAAGACCTGGAAAATGAGTGGGCCCGTTTTCAAAAAGAGCAAAACCATCAAGTGTTCTAATGACCTTTGTGTCTTATTTTTATAGAGTGACGTCCCAACGGGAGAGTGTGCACCCAAGTGTGGTTTCCAAGTCCCCATCGGACTGTGGGACGTGCTTCCAAGCCCCACTTGGCAGCAGTGCCTTCCCCTTTGTAAGGGACGTCACGTGGCACTCAGAGCCGAGCAGGCAGTCTGAGGTGCCTTTATAAGAAAGACAAGCGGGCTGGGGCTGGGAGGGCATGATTATTGACAGTGATGTGCAATGAAGTGACAAGATGAGAGCAGAATAATAAGAGCTTTGAATTTGAAGTGATTTTTTTTTCCCCATAAGTTATTTATTCCTTTTTTTCTGTGTAAATATATTTATTGTACTGTGGAGCTCTAACAACATCTGGATCGTAACGTGCAGAATGTATGGTAGGAATGTATTCTCTTGTAGGAATGTAAATCTGTATTAAAAAAGGGGTCCGAGCCAGACCCCTGGGTCTTCTCATTGTATGCACAGTCCACATTCATTTTTACTCTACTATGGGTCTATTTGAAATATGCAAAAGGTATGGATGAAGAATGTTTCAATACCTCCAAATTTTTAAGAAAATCAAGCATCAAAAGGTTGATATTTTTAAAGTTTTTTTAGTAGCACTTTCTCTTAATGACAGAACGGGCATCAATACCTACTATACCCTCGGTTCATACCAAAGGGTGAGAAACAGCCAGAGCCTCCTCCACGCTCACCTCCAGCATCTTTATCAATTGAGCTTTTTATTGCCATAGCCCCTTGTAGGGCCCCAAGCACCCTGAGGTCAATCAAGGAAAATTTCTTAAATAAATAAACTCCAAAGAGCCAAAGTATCAACTTACGGATCGTTTTTAAAGCTTAAACTTATTAGCCACCTCTGTGGTAAATAATGAATTATGAATACTGCAGGGGCAGCCTTCTTAAATGACAGATGTTTTAAAAAAAAAAAAAATGAGACTCTGTGCAACGATTGTTATTCTATATATTAATTGTCTTAATTTCAAGACCTTGCTGTTGCAAATTGGACCTTTATCCATTTTCTGAGAATACGGGAAAGAACATATCTAACCTGTCCTGTCTGTCAGTGTTGAATGCGTTGTAACTGCTGTGCACCTCGATGGACGGCAGAGAGGTGTGTGCGTCCTGCTCGGGGGCAGTTGCCATCAGTGCTTCTAAGAATAAGTCTAAATGGTTCTTGAAGGTTAATTAGGATCGAATGCTACTGTAAACAAAGCCAATAGAATATTTGGACTTCTTTTGGGGATAACACATTCAGAAGAGAAGTGCAGTCTGTACGGGCAAACAACCATGATTTTGGAAAAGTTGTAAATAGTAACATGTTTGGTGCATGGTTTTTGAGGAGGGCTTTTTGTCAAAAAGGAGGTGTAACCTTTTCCCCCCACAGACCTGAGAGCTGTGCCTTTTCTATGCAATATTACAGACATTACATCGGAACCCAGATGGCTGTATTCACATGTAGGTTTGGGCTGTAATCTAAAACAATTGAACAGATTAAATGTACATGGAAATGAGCAGTCTTACTTTTGTAGTTTTATATTATACAATAAACAGTTAAAAGATGAGTGAAACGTGCACACTGTTTTCTTTTGACCAGAACACAACCAGTTTGTGTGTTATAATTTGCGTGTGTTAAAGGACCGTTCCTGATGCAACTGGTTAAGGACTCAGGTACCTTGACCCATAACTTGGAGGCTAGAATCAACCCAGATGCACCCTCGGAAACCTGGCCTGGCCATCTGTTTCCAAAAGGTCATAGCATTGAAAAGCCTAAGGAGTAGTTGTGCTCTGCACACGTGGGGTCAGTCAGAATGGACTCAGCAGCAACTAACAGCTCCCAAGAGCAGTGCACATGCAACCTCTGCGAGAGTTGGTGCTGTTGACCTTCCCCACCTGAGCTCGCCGTTCTTGGACTTGGTGTGACACCTTTCACTTCTGGCTCTTCCCCTGCTTCTTAGGCCCCTCTTGACTTTTTTCTCACATCTATACCTCCAGAACTTTCAAAACACTTTTTCCCCCAGGTCTGGACTATGAACAGCTCTTTGCCAAGCCCCACTCATTCTACTGCTACTTTCAGGAGATGGTATAATCCACCCACGACTCAAAATTTCTTTCCAGCTCTTACCTCTCTCCTGAGCACTGAGCTTCTAAATACCTACCAAGATTGACCATCTCAAACTGAGCATGTCCAGAACTGTCTTGCTCCCACACAGGTGCTAATGCTTTTGCAGACCTCTCACTGGCCAGAGTTGGCT